GACGAATTTGGATGTGTGTTACTATGTTAAAGTTCTAATGGACGACTTTGGCTGTGTGTTCCTATGTTAAAGTTCTAATGGACAACTTTGGCTGTGTGTTACTATGTTAAAGTTCGAATGGACGACTTTGGCTGTGGTTTTCTATGTTAAAGTTCTAATAGACGACTTTGGCTGTGTGTTCCTATGTTAAAGTTCTAATGGACAACTTTGGCTGTGTGTTCCTATGTTAAAGTTCTAATGGACGACTCTGGCTGTGTGTCCTATGTTAAAGTTCTAATGGACAACTTTGGCTGTGTGTTACTATGTTAAAGTTATAATGGACGACTTTGGCTGTGTGTTCCTATGTTAAAGTTATAATGGACGACTTTGGCTGTGTGTTCCTATTTTAACGTTCTAATGGACGACTTTGGCTGTATGTTCCTATGATAAAGTTCTAATGGACGACTGTGGCTGTGTGTTCCTATGTTAAAGTTCTAATGGACGACTGTGGCTGTGTGTTACTATGTTAAAGTTCGAATGGACGACTTTGGCTGTATGTTCCTATGATAAAGTTCTAATGGACGACTGTGGCTGTGTGTTCCTATGATAAAGTTCTAATGGACGACTTTGGCTGTGTGTTCCTATGTTAAAATTCTAATTGACGACTTTGGCTGTGTTTTCCTATGTTAAAGTTCTAATGGACGACTTTGGCTGTGTGTTCCTATGTTAAAGATATAATGGACGACTTTGGCTGTGTGTTTCTATGTTAAAGTTCTAATGGGCGATTTTGGTTATGTGTTCCTATGTTAAAATTCTAATTGACGACTTTGGCTGTTTGTTACTATGTTAAAGTTATAATAGACGACTTTGGCTGTTTGTTACTATGTTAAAGTTATAATAGACGACTTTGGCTGTGTGTTACTATGTTAAAGTTCTAATGGACGATTTTGGCTGTGTGTTCCTATGTTAAAGTTATAATGGACGACTTTGGCTGTGTGTTCCTATTTTAACGTTCTTATGGACGACTTTGGCTGTGTGTACCTATGTTAAAGTTCTAATGGACGACTTTGGCTGTGTGTTACTATGTTAAAGATCTAATGGACGACTTTGGCTGTGTGTTCCTATGTTAAAGATCTAATGGACGACTTTGGTTGTTTGTTACTATGTTAAAGATCTAATGGACGACTTTGGCTGTGTGTTACTATGTTAAAGTTATAATTGACGACTTTGGCTGTATGCTCCTATGTTAAAGTTCTATTGGACGACTTTGGCAGTGTGTTCCTATATATGTTAAAGTTCTAATGGACGACTTCGGCTGTATGTTCCTGTGTTAAAGTTCTAATGGACGACTTTGGCTGTGTGTTCTGGGGATAGGGCAACAAATAAAAACAAAGGAAAGACTGATATGAAAACCGTTGAAAAAGTACAAGCGGAATAAATAAATGAGGACTTTGGTTGTGTATTCTAGCTGGCGAAAAAGGTTTCATTTAGGACTTCAGTTTCGTGTTCTGATGATTAAGTCATTTAATTTCTGGGGACGTTTGACTTTGGTTGTATTTTCTGATGATAAATGTTTGAATCAGAACTTTTGTCATGTGTTCCAATGATAAAGCCTTTATTTGAGAGTGTGTCATGATAATGAAATTCCTATTAACATTGGCTGTGTGCCCTGATGATAACATTCTAATTGTTGATTTGGTTAGAGGATGACTAGTTGTTTGTTTTGATGCTAAAATCTTTATTACGGAATTAACTTGCGTGTTAGTTACGTTAAATATTTATTTAGGGATTTTGGTTGTGTGTTCTGATGATGAAGATCTAATATGAGACTTTGGGTTTTGCGATGATCAAGTTCTAATTTGGGATATGAGCTTTGGGTTATAATGATTCCAATTAAGGGTTTTGGTTTGGTATTCTGACCACTAGCATCTTACTGGGAACTTTAAAATGAAGATAAAAGGTCTTGGGTTTTGTGACAAATTCTAATTGAGGGCTTTAATTGTAAGTTCTGATGATAAAATTCAAACAGAGAACTTTGGTCGTGTACCGTATAGCAGGATATTTTTGCGGGGATCATATTTTCGCAATTCAATCACTTGATCGCGAAAATATCATCTCCATAATAACATGACAAGCGTAAAATTGAGCCGCGGTATAAACTTCATAACCGTAATATCGCCATGAAATAGCGAGCATTTGTTTGCGACGATTCATATGCATAAAGAGTAAGGATTTATATCACACATCCAACAGCTTAATTGATTATTTATTTAACAAAGCACATTTACTTGTTGTTGTCCCAGTATTCTGCCATGAAGTCTATTCATTTGAATATTGGACACTTTATTTACCGGGTGTCCCGTCTCTGTGCTAAGACACCGCGAACATATCTTTCTTTCATATGTCTAGATAGCGAATTTATAACCCGTGTACATTTAATTTTCTGATTTTGGGTCAAACAGAGTTAACTCACAAACATTTAAGTAAATAACCCATTATACGATATTTTGATGACATGATTCAAATTTCTCTGACTAGAGCATGGTGAATTAGAGTCACATTTGGATTTACATTCCGATTTGATTAAACATATCAGGTCTTCATACAAAAAAATAATAATATCAAATTTGAAAACAAATAAAAATTTGGACCTTTTTTTTTGCTAAAAAACATAAAATAATTGTGAAATGCACTAATGTAACGGTTCCCGACTTGGAGCATGTATATTTTATAGTTAAAGTGTCAGGGTGTTTATGTGTTTAATTAATATGATAAATTGCCATATTCAATACAATATTAGCAGATTACGATAGGTTTTTTGGGGGGTTTTTTTGAAAAAGGGGGGGGGGGGGGGGGGGGGCGTACGCCCATTACGCCCTCACCTGGACCCGCCCCTGCTTATCAACAATGGTTTATCGTTTGATCTTCTAGCTGCTCAACCAAGTAAGTAAGACTTCTTGCCTTTCTCAGTACCATTAAATCGGTCTTATTGTCATAATGTATGCGTAGAAAAGAGAAATTAATGTAATATGGATTTTGAAGAATTCGAAAAATCTTTCCATCAGTCTTGAAGATCCTCTTCTCAAAAAATGTTTCTTCTATGAAAACTTTTGTCTTTTCGACTCTTAAAACTACCATACTTCATACCAATCTATAAAGGGACCCCTTCATTTTCTTATTTTGAAAGCTTTCTTTTCCAAAAAGGCAAACGTCGAGTATAAAAATATGGTTGTAAATTAGTCTGGACCCATATTTTGTGGAAAGTTCAGCAAAGGCCAAAATGAAATATTCTGAGGATGAAATTGTGCGAATGTTGAAAGTTCCTGGTTGACGATATCCTTGTTGAGTTTGGTAGCAAGATTTTCCATTATACTGAAGGATATGAGGCTGAACTTTATTGATGAGCTTATCAAAACCTGTAATAAAAACTAGCCAAGTCCTTCAATTTTACAATAATATATATCGAAAATATGCGTTCATTAAATAACAAGAAATACAATCTTTTATACCCTCTTGAGCTTGAGTCAATGGCACTTTAAACTCTGCAGCTGCAGCCACTTTCCTCAATCTTTACTTACAACATGACCAACAGGAACGGCTTACTACTAAGCTGTACGATAAACGGAACGATTTCGATATTCCATATCGTGAACTTTCCCTTTCTTGCTAGCAACCTTCAAGATTTCCTAACTCACGTACGCGTGTTCCTTTGTCACGGTTGATGTCTTGTGTTGTTTGTTCTGATGACTCAGGGGCATTCTTACGCACCCATATAGGAAATCCTGATAAACAGACTCTGTAGGACTTCGTTAATAAAGTGTGACACATATAAACAGGGGAATCTAAGGAAGGTTATTTCCTGTTGTTGTTTCCTATCGACTCGACTCTTGTCCGTTTTATCATTGTTGCTGGCGCTGAGGAATGTTTTAACTGACGCTGTATCTGTCTTGGTATTTCTAAGACGGTATACACGGGGGTGGGGGATCTACATATACACGAAGGGCATAACCCAAGTCGGAGTTAGAAATGCAGACTTTACCTAATACATATTTCTATATTATTACTAGATAACATCGGGTGACCAGTTTCTGAGTCCTGGACGCGAAAAGAAATAAATTATAGGAAATTTAAGCAACAGCTGTGCTTCGCGTTGTGTATCAATAATGTGTAGTCTTTAATTTCACCAGCCTAGGGTAGTCAGTTTGCAATAACTTTTTTTTTCATTCTAAAACGACAACTAGTCAATTCCGGCGGTATATTACCGTCTAGATATAACACATGATAGTCACACTATTTTGTTGAACATGCGATGATAAGTCGTGTGGCAAATATAAATTATACTAAAATGTTACCTTATTGTATTCTAATCTAATAAAAAGGTAATAGTAAGAAATCTACTTCCCGAAATACGTTTTGAATAAAATTGTGTGAATCTGTTTTCGTCTCGTTTTCTTCAACATCTTACCAAAGTACAATTAATCGGGAACCGTCGGCATTTTCCGTAAACGAGAAAAAAACGGTTAAACGTATTTTCTCGTTTAAGGAAAGTGCCGACGGTTCTCGATTGACCCAAGTGTTTACTCTTACTAACTTGCAGTTAGTGCACAACGATGCCTAAAAGGTCAAAGCACGGAAACAGGTTCAGCACAGAAACAGCCCCCCC